AGAACGTGTGTTCTAGTGGCATTAGAACATTGGCAGCATTTTCAAACTGCAGTGTTCCCTAAGCATTAAAGGATCAGGTGCCGGGTGCGGTGGCTCAGGTGGGTACAGTGGCTCATGCCTGTAATCTCAGCACTTTGGGAGGCCGAGGCAGGTGGATTGCTTGAGCTCAGGAGTTCAAGATCAGCCTGGGCAACATGGAGAAACACCATCTCTACAAAAAATACAAAAATTAGCTGGGTGTGGTGGCTCATCACTGTAGTCCCAGCTACTTGGAAGGCTGAGGTCAGAGGATCCCTTCAGCCCAGGACTTTGATGCTACAGTGAGCCATGATCGTGCCACTGCACTCCAGCCTAGGTGACAGAGTGAGACCCTGTCTCAAACAAAACAAAACAGGATCAGGCTTTGGAATTGGGTAGACCTGGAATTAAATCCCTGCAGTCACATCAGGTAGAGCTACTTCACCTCTCCAACCCTGTTTTGGATCTCAAACGTGGTGACAGTATTTAAAAAGGCATTTAGTACAGTGCCCAGAACATAGTAAGTATTAAATAAATGTTAGTTATTAACAAACATTTCCCAAAGAAGGTACTCCTTAACATTTTTCTTTTCTTATGGAATAACATATTTTAACATTTAGTCATTATAAAAATAAGTTATTTAAGTCCACCCCCTCACCAATTCCCCACACCGTAAGGGACATGGAGCTGGCCCAGTGAGGAGGAGGACTGCCTGAGCAGCGGAACAGAGAGAGGTCCTGGCAGGTTGACTCTCAGAGTGGCTATGCAGAGGCCACCACTAGGGTCAGCTACCTCTAACCACACTGAACGACATTTCTCTAAAGGTCTTAAAGAAGAATGAGAACTTGCTAAAAGAGGGGCCAGCTGGAGTTCCTCCCAAGGAGAAACAGATTGGAAGTGTAGAAAGCTTTCAACCAGAATTCAGCTTGTGAACATTTGACCACTTTTTGGAGACCTCTGACATATCTGATAAGGTTCAAAAGAAGTTGTTACTTAGAGTTCAGTTTGGCGCTTGGATTGAACAATGACCACCAACAAAAACGTCCAAGTGTTTGCCTATGTGTTAAGGACCTTCTTTGGTGCTGGGTGTGGTGACTCACACCTGTAATTCCAGCAGTTTGGGAGGCTGAGGCAGGCAGATTGCTTGAGCTTAGGAGTTCAAGACCAGCCTGGCCAACATGGTGAAGCCTTGTCTCTACTGAAAGTACAAAAATTAGCTGGGTTTGGTGGCACGTGCCTGTAGTCCCAACTACTTGGCAGGCCGAGGTGGTAGAATCGCTTGATCCTGAGAGGTGGAGGTTACAGTGAGCTGAGATCACCTCACTGCACTCCAGCCTGGGTGACAGAAAAAAAAAAGAAAAAGAAAAAGATCTTCTTTGGCAGAATATTGTTTTCTTTCAGCATGAAAATAGAATGCCAAGGCTATGCCAATGTGTGGTTTAGATGAAGTATATGTTTTGGTCCAAAATGTTTCATGAGTCCAAGGTTAACTTTGTGCTGGTGAACCTGGCCCAGTCATAAGAATGTTCTAATTTATAAATGTGTATTTCTATGTAAGTTAAGATACTTTTAAACCTTAGGAAAGAGAGGCTAGCCATTTAGGAATTAGACCAGGCTGTATATAACAGCCTAAAATGACAGTGACTTATACACATAAGGGTTTGATTTTCTCACATCAAAGAAGTCCACATGTAGGCAGTTCAAGGTCTCTGTATGTCAAGACTCAGCGTCCTTTTACATTTCTGCCCTAACATCCTAGTTTGTGACTGCCATCTTTGGTGAAGGTCTTCTCATTCCCAGAAAATACGAGGCGGGAAGGGGCAAAGGGAAAAGGGGGCCAGGCCTCCCTTTACTGTGCTTCCCTGTTTTTTCTTGCATCTCATTGGCCAGTAAACTAGCTGGGAAGAAGTTGGGAAGTGTAGTCTTATTCCAAAAGGCAATGTTTCTCTCTAAAAGTCAGGGTTCTGTTATTACCAAGGAAGAAAGACTGCTCAACAGTATGTGTGTATATATGTGTATATATATGTATGTGTGTATATATGTGTGTGTATATATGTGTGTATATATGTATATATATGTGTGTGTGTGTGTATATATATATATAGAGATAGAGAGAGTATTAAGTTACATGATCATAAGGTCCCACAATAGGGTGTCTGCAAGCTTGAGGAGCAAGGAGAGCCAGTCCAAGTCTCAAAACTGAAGAACTGGGAGTCCAATGTTTGAGGGCAGGAATCCTCCAGCATGAGAGAAAGATGTAGGCTGGGAGGCTGGGCCAGTCTCTCCTCTTCATGTTTTTCTGCCTGCTTTATATTCATTGGCAGCTAGTTAGATTGTGCCCACGAGATTAAGGGTGGGTCTGCCTTCCCCAGCCCACTGACTCAAATGTTCATCTCCTTTGGTAGCACCCTCACAGACACACCCAGGATCAGTACTTTGCATCCTTCAATCCAGTCAAGTTGACACTTAGTGTTAACCATCACAGGTTGTGTGTAAATCACTGAAATTGGCCTAGAGTCATTTTGCAAGGGCCTTCTGCCCAAAGATGGGTGGATTCCCTGGGAGTTCGGTCAGCAACACACCAGATTCTTCTGTCTGCTTCTGAAGGCTGACTTGACTTCTGGAGGCTTCTTCCTGGAGCAGGCCTAGTTGGATGAGATAAAAGTACTCTTTGAGATCTCACAGAGTAGGATTACTTGGGTTATAAAATCTAATCACGGACTTAAAATATGTAAATAGGAGCTTTCAGATTCCAAGTTCAACAAGCATTGTTCACAGTTAGTGGTTGCTTTTGTGATATTTTGGGAAGAACATGGGCATACAATTTAGCTCTACCACTTGCTACGTGACCAGCTGCCAGTTCCTGAACCCTCCTGTGTCTCAGTTTCCTCACTGATTGTTGAGAGGAGTAAATGAAATCATTTGTGTGTGGGTTTGTGTGTGTTTGTGTATGCAATACAGGTTTCAATGTAGTTGTGATAATATCGAACTGATTCCTTTGAATCTTATTTTCTTTATTCAATGCCACATCATACTCATTTTCCATGTTATTACACATGTTTACAATGTCAATATTCATTTAACCATTTTCCTGTTTTTGAATATTGAAGTTGGATATTTGCTTCCAGACTTTTTTGATGCAAAAATCTTTGAAATTATTCATTTAACTAGATTTTCAGAAATTAAATTGCTGGGTTAAGCAGATTTGGATATGTGTTGCCAAATTAGTTTTCCAAAAGGCTTTAACTAATTTATTCTACCAACAGCAACAGAGAACAGAGCACATTTTTGTCATTCTTAAGCATGTCATAAGCCATATTCATACACCAGCCTGGGAAACAGGAGCGAAACTTCCTCTTAAAAAAAAAAAAAGAAATGCATATTATAATTTGTAACATGACAATTTTATAGGTGAAAAATAGAATCCTGGTTTTAAGTTTTGTATGTTTTTTTGTGACTAGTGAGATTGCATTTTATTTAAGTGTATTTGCCAGTTTGAGTTCCATTTTTGTAAGTTGTTTGTTTGTCTGGTATGGCTCTAGTGCATTAATCTGTTGAGTATTAGAATACAGAACATCTTCAACATTCAGTTTGGTGTCCTGATTGTGAACATGACTGCATCTGTGTTATATGTGTGTGATTGTATTCAACTGGGAATATGTGCTTTTTGGCTAATGTACAAAATGCTGGGTGCACCAGAGATGTGTCTGGAGTTCAGGTGATGAGACCTTTACCTATTTCTCCTTCCAGAGAATCTTTAGTTGTAGCTGGAGAAAAGCCGAGTGAATTCCTTTTGGAGCTGGGTAGAAAGGGCATGGAGTGAAGGGTCATGAAGTCAGCACATTCCCTTGTGGATTTGTGCCTGTAATATGCTGATTTCTACCCTGATTTTCTTCCTCCCATTTTGCCTGAAGTGACACTGTCCCTAGACCAGTCCCTGGCCAGCCTGCATCATTTCTTTTGGGGTTATCTGAGGATCTGAGGTCCATGTGTTTCACAAGTACCCACAGGATGTGCCCACCATTCCCCTGCAATTCAATTCCAAGTCTGTGTTCCGAAGTAGAGGTTTCACCCCTGGGGAGACACTTGTGGGTGTTGGGGGTGAGGGGTGGGCCTGGGGAAGGACTGAGTCATGAAGGTCACTAGGACCTCAAGGAAGAGAATGAGTTTCACCAGCTTTACCTCTTCAGAAGGGATCTCAGCCGCGCAGATTCTTGGAGGTAATTATGAGGCTTTTAAAGTTCCAGAGATGTCTTTAGCTCTGAGCAATGTTCTGAGGAGTAAAGTCATCATCAGCCCATTTTGGCCCTATGTGGACATCTTCTTTCCCACTCTTTCCTCTTGGGAGGAGGGACTCCAGTTTCACAGCTTGCCAGGGCCTTGGGCTTGTAGTTTGGGAAGAATATGGAGCCAGGTGGAACTCTTGACCATAAGGATTTCATGTTCTGGTGACTTGAGTCTTTAGGCCCAGAGACTGTTCAGAATCTAAGCAGCTACAAAATTGGGACTTGAGGGGGACTCAACAAAACTTGGCTTTAAACATTAGAATTAACAACAAGAGAATGGTTAAAGGGGTTCAGGTATAAAAGACTGTGCAGTAGTTATAAAGAAATAGGGATATAGACATAAAAAGATCTTTGAGATGTACTGTTAATTGAAGAAAACAAGTAGTAGAATAAATTTAAAAATACAATCATGTTTATGCAAAAGAACAACAAAAAAATCCTAGCTTTCCCCCCAACATGTACACAAATGAAACCATACCCAGGAGGTGAGGAAGATGCCATACTCAATGGATGATAGTGGCTGCCTCTGGGCAGTGTGTGTGAGGGTCAACCAGACTTTGTACTTTGTTTTGTTCACATTTTAAGATAATGTAATTACGTCTTTCTGCTGTAATCAGAAATAAAACACAGAACAACTGGCTTGAAAATCTGGGATCCAAATCCTTCTGCTTATCTGAGACCCAGGTGGTCACTGGCTCAGTCCTGATGCAGAGCAATGGCACTGACATTGAAATTGCACTCAAAGAAACCGAGCTGCAGCTCACCATGGACATGCTGTAGGATTCCAGCAAACCAGGAAGTGCTCTGAGCTTCACAGGGTTGCTGTGTTAAATGAGATAATATATGAATGTGCTTGCAAAAGTTAAAGTGGGAGACAAATGTAAGGTAGAAATACTATACTGTGTCATTACATTCTTGTCCTAGCTCCCAAAATGAAAGTGGGATAAGAATGCAAGCACCACAACCCGATGAAGTAGATACTATTATGATCCTCTCCATTCCATAGTTGAGGAGTTAACTTTTAGTTAATTTTCTATCGGTCATTGGGCTGTTCAGCTGCAGTCATAGCTTGAACCCAGGCTCCCTTCTGTTCTCAACTGCCACGGCATGTTGAAGCACTTGGACACATTTGCAGCCATGTAAATATATTTACCGTTTGCTTCTTGTAGCAGTTTCGACAAAGTTGAGATTTAAACCTACAAGAACAAATATATGAAACTGATTCTAAACACTGTTGAGTATTTATTATGTGTTTGTGCTAGGCATTGTAGGAATAACAAATGGCCAACATTTTCTGATCATCTGCTGTGTGCAAGACTCTCTTCTAAGCGCTTTACATGTATTAGTGCACACAACTTTATGCAAGAGGTATACACAACTTTATACAAGAGGTACTACTGTGCTCATTTTACAATTGAGAAAAACGCTGCACAGAGAGTTTAAATATCTTACTCAAAGCAAAGACGTTGGAGATATGGTCCCTACCCTGAGTCCAATATGAGTGAAATAAATAAAACAATGGCGCAGTGCTGCAATGCGGCTATTTACAAAGTTCTAAAGGCGCTTAGAGAGGACCATCCCTGCAGGGGAAAGTGAAAAACTTTGTGTGAGATCCTGAAAGGCAGAGGTTCGAGCAGTGGGGCCACATGTGCAAGGCCCTGGGCTGAATGAGAAACTGATCTCACGTTCTGGGTCAGAACCGAGCTCCATCGGACCGCAGCGCAAGCCAAAGAAATGCAGTGGCTGCTGTCCTAGGCTGGCCCTTCCGCATAACTCGGGGGCATCTGGCAAGGGGCTCCGTGTGGGCCCCCAGCTCCGGCCACACAGAGCCCCGCTCCCCTTGGGCCGTGGGATTGGTAAGCAGCAAACTGAGCTGAAGCGGCCAGGAACCCCCTTAGAGGGCAGAGTGAGGACTGGTGGGAGAGAAAAGCCTAAAGGGACTATAGCAATTGGCTGCTGCCTTTTCCACCGTGGAAGGGTCGGGCTGACACTCCCATCGTTGGGGCTTATTCAGGTAAAGATGATGTCTGGAGCCCCCTCTTGCTTCAGAGACCTCCCGCCCTGCGCGTGTCACTACCTCCCCAGAAACCAGATTGCCCTTAAGAGACTTAGCCAATCATCATCCACGGCCATTACCGTGGAGAGCCCAGCGCTGTCAGTGAGTTTCTGATTGGCTGTTGCTGGATGGGGGGGGGGGGGGGCGGGCCCGGAGAAGAGCCCCGCAGCCTTGTGAAGGAGCCCTGCTTCCCATCGTTCTCTCCAACTCAGGACGGATGGTGCCCCCCAGTGGTCTGTAGGGGTAATGCCTCGCGCTGTTGCCCCGCAGAAGGCAGGCTTGGCTTGCCAGGCTCCTGGAGAGGAAAGCCTTTTAACCTAAATGAAGTAGAAAGAGAAAGACCTAAACTTGAATAGGAATCAGTCGTGCTGAATATTTATTTCTCAGAGAGCTCTCAGCCAGAATGCCTGTCGTCGGTTCCAGCTCCACACTAACTCAGTTTCCTTTTTTTCTTGGGCCTCATCTGTCAGATGGGGACAATGATAACACCTATCTCCAAGGGTTGCCATGAGGTTTCAATGAAATTAATATGTTTAAGGTTCACACAGTGCCAGGCACACAGTAGGTGCACGATAAGCAATAACTGGTGGGGATCAGTACACTGGTTAAGAATGAGCATTCTGGATCAGGTGTCAGGACTCACGCCTATAATCTCAGCATTTTGTGAGGCTGAGACAGGAGGATAACTTGAGTCCAAGAGTTTGAGACCAGCCTGGGCAACATAGCGTGACTTTCTCTCTGCGAAAAATAAAACAAAATTAGCTAGATGTGTGATGTGTGGAGGCTGAGGTGGGAGGATCACTTGAGACTGGGAGGTCAAGGTTGCAGTGAGATGAGATTGTACCACTGCACTACAGCCTAGGAGATAGAGTGAGACCTTGACTAAAAAAAAAAAAAAAAGCGTTCTGCTGTTTGAAAGAACGGCTGTTGAGTCCCAGCCCTGCTTAGCACTAGCATGGTGGGATTACATAGCCTCCCTGTTTCAGTTTCCTCATCTGGAAATGAGACTAACAATAACACCTACTTCATGGAATTGTGGTTTAATTGTGATAATACTGATAAAATACCCAATACAAAGCAATCAATAAATGTTGGCTCCTATTATTCATATCATTTAACTATTATGATTATTATTTCCCTTCTTCCTCCCCCAGGCAAGAGGCCATTCATCCTGAGTTGGCCCTTCTGAAAGAGGAATAGTGGCTTGCTTTGTCTGGAGTTAGTCTGTAAACCTATGACATTCACATGTATGAAGATAGGACTTGGAAAATCTGTATATCACACTCTTGTCCACAATGTGCATTATTCTTTTAGGCACTGTTTTCTTAAGCCCCACTGGTACCCAACAAAAGCATAACATTGTAATTATTAACTTTTTGGTGCAGAATTAGTTTATTAGTTTATTGAGTATCTTTTAAGTTGACTCTAGTGTTGAACAGTATTCTGAGGGCAGTGTACATAGAAGGACATGTACTGATGAAGATAGGGGTTTCAGGGGTTTGAAATCAAAGGACATAAGTCAGCATATACTCTAGGGTGAGCCTGGGTTGGGACCAATGATGGTGAGGTGTGTGGTGGTGTTTGGGTGATTGGCTGGAAGCAGGGAAGTCTGGAGTCTGAGTCATGGGAAGATTACTGGACTAAGACTTGGAGATTTGAATTCTGGCTATAACTAAATCACTCTCTGGCTGTATGATCTTGGACAGTCACTTATATTTTCTGAGAACTGATTTCTTGGAAGTAAAATGAAAACAGAATGTGATTCTTTTGTGTAGTGCATTATAAGCACTCTATAACTGCTAGTTATTATTCATAGTGTTATGAATAATTCCTCCTCAAAAGTATGTTGCAAGAATCATGGAAAAATATAATCTGTTAAATTTTTATATTTCAAGAGTGATGAGTGCCTAAGATCACCAAATTAACAGTTTGGGAGCTTGGCAAGGGTTAGTCTACCTTTCCTTGCTTTTCCATTTTGTAGTTCTTATCTCCTCTTCTGTCCTTAGTTAAAAGTCTATCCTTCAAGTCACACAAGTGACCCAGTTCAATAAGGACCTTCATAGTTCTTTGGATGCCTTCCTACTCTACCATACATTTGACCATCTTCCATCATTTGCCCCACATACTTCCTTCCCTTCTGGCCTATAAGAGAGGACTCTAGCCAGAGCTTAGGGCCTGCATACAGTGGTCTCAGGTATATTGGCAGCCCCAGGATTCCTGGGTTCTTCTTCGGGTGAATGACCTTGTAATTGAAGCCCAAAGTTTAAGGGTGGTACTGCTAAGCACATATTGTGGAGGTAGGTGGGTAGGACAGCTGACACCCTCTCCAATTAATCCTTCAGCTACAATTTTTGGTGTGGTTACTATAGCCTGGTGACTTTGGAGGCCACATTCTTTCATTCTGAAGATATATGTAGAGTTATTTCTCAGTTAAAAATGAAGAGAGGCATACTTTTTAGTGGGAAAATATGGGGCTTTTGTGTTGGGCAGATTTAAATTTGAATCTGGTCCTTTACTATGTAATCTCAGAACTAGTTGCTTATTTCCACAGTTTGCTTATCTATAAAATGGGGACAATTGGAATACCACTCAGCAGTAAAAAGGAGTGAACTTTTGATAAATGCAATAACATAGATGAATCTTAAAATAATCATGTTGGGTATAAGATGCAAGACAAAAGGATTACACACAGAGATTATATAAAGTTCTAGAAAATGCAGACCAATCTGTAGTGTCAGAAGGCAGGTCAATGGTTGCCTGGGGATGAGCAAGTGGAGGGGCAGGAGGAAGGATTACAAAGGGAGATGGGAAAACTTTTGGAGCTGAGAGTTATGTTCATTACCTTGATTGCAATATGGCTTCCCAGGTATATACATATATCTAAACTTATTAAATTGCACATTTTAAATATGTGCAGTTTATGATATATCAGTCTTTCAATAAACCTGTTAAAATGGAGTAATAAAATCTATTCATAAATAGTTGGTGATATTTTAATGAAGAAAACATGTTAAAGTGCCAGAAATACAGCAGGCGATCAGTAATGGGCACTGTCTTCTTCCCCATTTTCATACCTTAAAAAAGAACACTAGGGAATTAACTTTGGTATCATAGTTATATGACAAAGCCTATAAATGGCACTAATACCTTAAGCAATATGGAATACACATTTTCCTGTCTTTCTTGGTCTCATAGGTACAGTATCATAAAGATTAAATGATGCAATCACATAAGGAACTTTAAAGAGTTCTGGGCATATAGTAAGCACTCATTAAATGTTTTTTGTTGCATTTACTACTATTGTTATGATGGGTTTGATGGAAGGCATGGAGTGAATAATCAGTAAATATTGGTTACCCATAATTGTACTTATTTTCATTATTAAAGTGGATAAGGAGGAAAGATTTGTGAAAAGATCAAGGAAGTTGACTTTCAAAAGAGTTTGCTTTTCTTGAGATTTGATAGGGCTGGGATTTTTATGTTTGGTTGGTGCTAAATTGTGACAGAAAACATCTGGAAGAAAGTTGGTCAATGTCTTCTACAGGAATATAGCAACTCATTATGATTGTTAATATAGATGGTATTAAAGGTAGAAGGTGCATTTATAATGATCAGCGAATTTAAATGGGATTAAATGGTTTCCAGCCGTAAACAAAGTGGTACCAACATTTGGTAGACATTATCTTAGCATCAGACATAAGAATATCCTGAGGCACTCCTTAAAATGCAGATTTGTGGGACCTACCCTCAAAGTTTCTGATTCAATGGTTCTTGGATGGATCAGGAATCTGCAGTGTAATGCACACACTCAGTTGATTTTAATGCAGGTTATCTGTAGATCATACTTGGAGAAGCACTGGTCTAAGACATTTGGGACCTTGGACAGCTCCTTGTGACCTTGGACCTAGGTTTCAGGACCCGAGACAGAGCCCAGAATTTCCAACTCCATACCTTGGGGGAAATTTACTTTAATTCTCAAGGAAGCATGCTTATTTTCCTAGAAACAACACCACCACCACCAGCATTCCTTAAATCAATACTTTTGGAGACTGAAAGTTCTGATTTCTGATGGCCAATAAGGAGAAGGCACACATGGTGCACCCATAGGAGAAAATAGTCTAAACCCAGAGTGCTTAGCTTGGAAACTCTGATGTTGTGAGGGTGCATGTAGTTTTCAGAGGATCTGAGACCCTCCTGAAATTGTATGTAAATTTGTGAGGAAGCTTATGCATGTATATTTTCATGGATGGGGAAATTTTTCTCCACTTCAGAGTGGAAATATTCTGGATACACCAATGTACATGCTTTTAGGTACAACTTATGTACTTTGATGGACCTCTTAAGATATGTGTGAGTGACTAGAAAATTTTATTTAAATTCTTCCTTGTTACTCAAGCAACTAAAAAGTATATGTATCCCTTCAAATATGAACATATCAATGAAAACAAGCAAACGATCTCTGAAGGTGTCCAACTCTGACATTTCAAGCTATAATTTGAAAAACTCTCAAGTATTGTGATTGAAGTCTATTAAAGTTGGTACAGAATTGGATATATCTCACCTTGGCTAATCTAGAAACTTTATATTACTGAAAGAACTGTCTTATTATAAGCCACAGCTAATGTGAGAAATGAGGTTATTTGGATGACTAAGGAATTTTTTTCATATATTATTTGATCATTAAATGTTCTTATTTTTGACAGCCTTACCAAAAGACAAGGAAGTGATAATGGGGTATTGAATTAGGTAACATTTGCAGCAGGTCAAACTATTGCAAGGTGATAGCCATTCACAATATTTCACTTAGAATATGTTCTCAAAGGCAACCCGTTTAATAGCAAGCAAACCATCACATTCATCATCTGTGACCTGTCTGGTTGTAAACCATAGCTTAATATTCTAATATGTGCAATATATCTGTAAAGATAAATTTATTCTCTTAAAGGCATAGCTGATTTGAACTTCTGTCTTGAAAGTGTTGTTCTTTCACTATGAAGAAAATTCTCTTGAGTCAGTGCCCCAAAGACATGAACTATTCCAGTGATAGGAGGAAGCAGGGCTGTTAACATGCTCATTAACTCCACAAGAGACTACAGCTATACATTAGGAGGCAGATTGTCTCAACAACCCTGACATTTTTCTTCCTATGAGGAATAGTGAGATAGAAATTACTGGCTCAAGGCTCCAAGCAACTCAGATAGCTTTGTAAAATTATCTGTACTAATTTCAAAGCAAAGATAACCCAGAGAGTTTGTTTTCCTGGCTTCTATGACACCAGCTTCTCTTGTTTCATTCCCCACTTCTAATCTCCTTGGAT